GAGAGAGAGAGAGAGAGAGAGAGAGAGAGAGAGAGAGAGAGAGAGAGAGAGAGAACTGCAATTTGTCCCAATACCCACCAAGTAAGGAAGCAAAGCCCCTCCCAGCCACTCACCTAAAGAAGCAGGTAGTCCAAGCGCAGTGCCTACTCCACAGTGGGGCCAAGAATCCCACATTCTGAACCTACTTGGTGACTCTCTGCTAAGGAGAAGCTTTGTGTGCCTCTTTTCACCGAGATTCACCTATTTCTTACACTTTTACCCCAGTACCCTGAGAATGGCTCTGAAATTTTCCACAGCAAAGTGCAGGGAAAGCTGCCTTTGCTCTGGAGCAGGAAGGCTGTCTCCCAGGGGCTGCCAGTTATAAAGGTTAACGTGCATGGATTACATCTTGCAGCTGAATTACATTCAGAGGTCATTGTTCTTGGCCTCCAGGGTCATTAATTTCAGGTGCCTGGTTTTCACCAACATATGCAGCCAATACATTCTTCAAGTCTCCTCAGGGGTAGAAAAGGCACAATTTGGAATCCAATCAGACCAGGTTCAAATGATGTTCAGAGAGTTAACATTTTGATGCTTAATTTCCTTATTTGGTCAAATGGAGCCGACAGCTCCTACCCCACATTATTATTGGAAGTTTAGTGAGATGACATATTCAAAGTACCTGATAATTATCACTAATATTCTGTCATCCATTATGCTGGGTTCTGCGGCCTATTTTCTCATTTGATCCCAGCCACATTCTGAGAATGAGAGTATTATCCACATACACAGAAGAGGAACATAAGGGAAACAGGTGATCTGATTCATGTCAGACAGCCTGAGAAGTAAGCCAAAATCAAACCCCAGGTAGGGATGACTCCAAAATGTGTGCATTTACCCAACATAGTGTTTTCTACTATGCTGGCACTCAGTAGGCACGTGACAAACCTTGGTTCCCTGCTTTACTTCCACACTTAGGCTTCTTAAAATAACACAATTTGGTCACTCCCGATAAAACATGTGACAGCCTGACTAATCAAATGCCTCTCCAGTCACTAAGGGACAGAGGAATTCTGGGTACCCCTGAGACCTGTCACTAGACAAACCAAGAGATCGCTTAGAAGGCAGTATCCACTGCCCGTGGATGGGTAGTGCTAATGATGGCCCAAAAAAAGAATAAATTTTCAATTATCAGCTACAATCAATTACCAGCTACAGTGCAGATGGAGCCCTAGGCCTTGGAATGTAACTTCCTTCTCTTTCCAGGAGCACCTCTTTTCTCTTAATTAGCGATTAGGCTGCACTGTTTTAGCGCCAGCAGGCAGGGCTGGAGGAAAGACTAAGGGAGTGTGGGAGAGGAAAGATAAGGTCAGCACTTTTGGTGTGTTGATGGAGAGGAAGAGAAGGAGGGTGGTTTGAGGATGTTCCCTCCCATAGGGCGCTGGAGTGTGGGAAGTGACAGCAGTGGTACTTTGAAGGGTTTAAGAGCAAGTTACAAAAGCAGTTAGGGAGGCTCTTTTGGTTACCATAGAAATGAAAGTGGATGACAACAAGTCTCCTCCTTGTACCTGTGTTTCAGGACTCACACCACACAGGCCACACCATCACAGGGAGCATTCTGATCCTTTTAAGCTCCTTGGGAAGGATTTGGGGCTTTATCGCATCCACATTCAAAGACTGTTGTTTAGTTCAAAAGTGTCAGGAAGGCTCAGTGGGCCACAGTCCTGATAGTTTCACATGCCATCTTCATCACCTCCGTAGTGAAAGGAAGTGATACAGGCTTTAGTACTTGATTGTGCTGTGCTCACTCATGGGTTTACATGGAAACTCTTATCAACAGCCTGGCCTTTCAAGTCATCCACTTTCTCAGCAAGTGTCCCCCAAGTGTAAACTGCCTCAGGTTATCAGTAATGTTTTCCAAAAGGTAAATGAGTTATTCTCTCACATTATGGTCACTTACTACTGCCACCATGTACTGAACCCCACATATCCCCTCACTGTGAGTGCATCAGATTCTGTACAATTTCCCCCATGAGAGTGGTTTTTCTGAAGCCACAAATGGTGGGAACGTTGGGGGATAAAATCTTACCCCTAAGGAGTAAGGGGATTGAGTGCACTAGAGAACCTGTAGAAATTCTAGGCTCATGTATAGGCATAGCAAAGACAGCCCCCTAAATAAAGAGACTGTCAAGATATTTTACACACCTCAGATAGGCAATAAATGCATTTCCATCTACCATACCCTGCTTACGGGAAAGCGTTCATTATTTTCCTCATTTACAGATTCAATTATAGGATTTGTAAATTAATTTTAATTGCAGATAATACACTCATGCCTTTTGTCTCCCCTTGTGTCTGGTCTTGCAACCAACAGTTCAGTGCCTTTTTAATTTTAGCATCCTTAAGTTAGGACTTACAGTGACTTTGCACTAATGTAGAGGCAATGTAAAATTCTCTTAACTGAGGACAAGATATGCAGGAACCAACCCATCTAGATGAGATTTTCATATAAACTGGGGAACCAGAGAGAGGTTATTATAATTCCAGTTATAAGTTATTTCTGAAGAGCCAGTTTATTTTGTTCTCAGACAGCAGTTAAGCAGAAAATCCCTGTGCAGAGCTCCAACCAATTCTATTCATTCAAAAAAATATTTCTGGGTTCCTCTTAAGAGCTTCTAACATAGTGGACACAACAAACAGCTTGTAAAGTATGAATCTGATAAATAGAATTGCCTTTTAAGAAATGGCAACCATTTTATCAGAGAAAATAAATTTGGAAGGTATATTCAATCATTAGAGTAAATCTGCTTTGTGCAATATTCCTGCTCAAAGTTCATTTATTTTCACAGTGAATTCCTTTTTGATACCCTTACCTCACCAAGTGGTTTAGACAAGGCATGTTCTCAGTTCTGTCTTTTTATAAATAGCAAAGCTACTTGGAACAGCAAAGGGGGAAATGAATCTGTACCAGAGAAATATTGCAGAAAGAGCATGGGCTTAGGCTCAGGCTCAGATACACCTGGGTCACAGCCCAAATCTTTCACTTGCCTAGTTGAATGAATTTACGCAAGATTTTTCATCTTTCTGAGCCTCAGTTTCTCATTTATAAAAGAGGTTTGTTGTCTGACTTAAACATTACATAGAACAGCATTTGTAACATGGTAGATGTCAATGAATGAGAGCCTGTGTGACTGCTACATCACCACTATTTTCAGGTGTGTTGGCCAAGACATCGCTTTAGATACTTTTTTTTTTTTTTTTAGCAGCCTGACTGTGGTCAAGGCCCAAAACAACAGTGGAAATGAAAAGAATCAACTCTTAATTCCTTGTTTTTTAGCACAGATTAAAGGAAGCAAAACATTTGCAAGTGTTTTAGACCCACAATTTCTTCAATCCATCCTTTTTACTGGAGGGTCAGCCCATGGGGGTGCCAGAATAGTGTTTCAGGGCAGCTGCACAAATCACACAGGTGAACCCCAGTACTTAAGAATGAAAAAGCAATGAGACCAGGAAGGATGAGGCTTGTCAATCAGAAAACCCTGTGTGTGTGTTTGTGTGTGGGGCGGGGGTTGAGGAAATTGTTGTCAAAAGGATGAGACAGAAAAGCCATGGCTTCCAGATACCTCCAGTCTATGAAAGCAGAACTCTCCTTCTATTTGCTTGACGTTCATTCTGTCTTTATAAATCCCGATGAAAAGAAAAAGCACAGTGTTCCATCAGCAAGATGTCTCCATTATCACAAGCTTTATCCATTTATCCATTTAGTTCTGTTCTCATAGGAGATCTCCTAAGCCTCAGTTCAGCAAACTGGCTCCCCAAGGTGGTTGGTGCTCTTTGGAGCCATCCCAAAGGGCAGACAATCCTGAGTTTTTTGGTTAAAATTAAGTTTTTCCTGCAAAAGAACAAACTCATCATGTAGACTTTTTTTTTATTGTGGTAAAATATACATAACATAAAATTTACCATTTTAGCCATACAGCTCTATGACATTGATTATATTCACATTGTAGTGCAACAATTGCCACTGTCCATTTCCAGAATTTTTTCATCTTCTTTAACTGTAACTTTGTACTCATGAAGCAATATGTCCCCTTTTTCTCACTTCCCCATCAGCCCCTGGCAACCACCACTCTATTTTCTGTCCCACTGAATTTGACTATTTTAGGTACCTCATATAAATGGAATCATACAATATTTGTCCTTTTGTAACTTGTTTATTTCACTTAGCATAATGTCTTCAAGGTTCATCCGTGTTGTAGCATGTTGTAGGATGTCCTTCCTTTTTAAGGCTGAATAATTGTGTAGACTTTTAAGTAAAAATGTTGCAGTCTCCATCAGTGGCTTTATATTTTGAGCCTTGCTATAAAAATTCACATTTAATGATGCTTTAGAAACTGAATTATTTCATTAGTATATAACTAGTGAAAGTATACTGAATATTTATTGTAGATAGTGGAAAGTAATAAATGTATGGATTTCTTTTCATAAAAACTGTCTTTATACAGTGGTATGTTAAGTTGAAAACTAGGTTATTGGCATCCTTGCAAAGAGATAGTGTTATTTGATTAGTACTTGTGGTTGTAGTCATTCAGGAAAGTCACACTCTATGATTTCTGTAATCTGAGTGACGAGGCACATAAATAAAGGTCTACAGATAATTCAGTACCCCAAGGTTGCTCGCTAAAATAATCATATCGCAAATCAAATGGCTGATTTCTCATCAAATTTTCCTCCCAGTTTCTCTTACTAACCACCCTTGCAAAAAGGGGAAAAAAAAGGTGTTTTAGACTCACATATCATAATCTATTATGTGCTTATTAATTTGTTTACTTTATATATTTATTTGCATAAACTCTACAACAAATTTGGCTTTAACCAATAAAGAAATATAATGAGGTACAAAGGAAAACATGGCATTTCTGCATGAGAAATAAAGCTCTCCTGGCTAGATAAGCCTAAAAAAAAATATTCTTATGTTAGTTTCAACCATGTTTAGTAGCTGTGGATGGTATAACAAATGCCTACCTATTCTGGTTGGTTTCATAAGGTTTATTTGTAACTTAAACCTGTTGACACAAACACATGCTATAGTGTTATCAAGATGTGGAACAGACAGAACAGGACACTTACTTTTTTTAATTTACAAGTATTGATTTTTAAGCTGTGTCATCAGCTTTTGAGACATCATTCCTCCCCATGAGACACCACCTCAACATTCTTTGAACTATTCTAGAATGAGATGAGAAAGGATCTAGAAGGGGAATGAAAAAAAATTTTTTTTATCACAGGAGAAAGACAATTTGGGCATAATAATAATGAATGAAGACACCACAAGGAAAAGCTCGTAGGATAGGCTGGAGAACAAAATATTGGCCCCTGATGTCTGTGCTAAAAGTGATTTTTTTTTAAGAATTTTGTATATCACTCTTGTAATAAACACTCAACTTCGTTGTGCAATAAAGACAGATGAGAAGGATTTGCTGCTCCAACAACCAAAAAAAGCAACTTCACTATGTCCTTGGAATCTGGCTTCTTTGGTTTCAAATGTGCAGTAGAAAACTTGTGCCTGCAAGGGCTAGGGGCCGCTGTTTATGTAACTAATTGGACAAATACATAAATATGAAAATTGGGGCAGGTCCCTCTATTCTCATCTGATCTAAAGCCAGAGTTTGCTCTATGGTTAAGAGGCATGAAGACTTGAGAGAGGTGCAGTTAAGCTGTCCTACGCTCACTTTCTTACATAAGCTTCAAGTTTATAAAGTTTTCTCTATTTTGTTTCCAAATGGTAGGAGGGAAAAACCATGTCTTAGGGGTCTCTTATTAAGGAAGAAAGGAGCTTGGCCATGTTTTAGATTGGGGAAAACTTTTGAGGATCAGCAGATGATAGGCGATGTGAAGAAAAGGTTGAAGACATATCCAGAGGAAAGATTAAGAGCATTAGATGGAGAGCTGACAATGGCCAGGAAGAGAAACGTACCTTCCTCAGAGACAAGAGAACAGTCAAGAAGATAAAAAACAATTTTGATACTGGGAAACAGGATGCTGAGAAAAGTCCGTATCTTATCAGCAAATTTGGTATTGAGGTCACCTTCTGGGAAAGAATGGGTGGAACTTGGGTCTTGGGAAGGTTCGATTTAGCTCCAGTGAGAAATGCAAAAGGAACTAAAAAGATGAATGAAAGGATGACAAAGTGGGGTGAGCCAGTCACAGAAGGTTGTGTTTGGAAGTGGCATGTGAAATCTCAGAGATGGGGCAATTCCACGTAATGATTATACCTAACATGATTATATCTTTGTGAGTGCTTATAGAGGTCATTATAGTTGAGCAGACCAAGGAAGTACAACGCCAAGGTATCAGTGCCACCTACTGGCTTACGAAAGCCAATGAGGAGGCAAAGAAGAGATACAGAGAACTGAAAATTTCCACAGTAATATCTGAATAACCCTTTGTTGACCTAGCCATGACTCATCTATTATCACAAAGGAGACTTTGGGTATAGAATGGTATAACTCCCTGACCCATCTAAGTAGCATTGAATTTAGCAGAGCAAGGTGTGCTTAGTTTAAAATACCACCCTAGCATTGGATCTAATACACCACGGAGATTAAGGTGGATGGATATCAGTAGTTAGGAGCACCAAACCACAGTGTCAGTTTCTATAAGCACCAATGCTATCACCCATTACTAGCAAATTATTAGCATTGGCAATGTAGGCAAGATCTGCTTCTTCTTACCAGGTCAGCCCTGGGTCCTCTGCTCTTGATCTTGCTGATGCCTGGACTGATAATCACACCGCTCAATTAGTTGTGCCTCCTACAACAAAAGTGGGAGAGATCACATGAGGGCAATAATTAAAAGGTGGGATAGCAGAGCCTGAATAAATAAACAAAAGGCTGCATAAATATGATGCCTATATTGTGTGAGACATTCCCAACTTGAAATCACCACTCCTGCTAGACAGAAATCCCACCTTTTTTCTGCCTCAGGACTGCTGATTGCCAAGAATGCAATTAGTCCATTCTAACACCTGTGAATTAGTAAAAGTTGCCCCCAACAGAGGCAGGGGCAGCCAACACCAGAGTGCATGGCTGGATTTCCACCTCCACTTGGCCATGTGGGCAGGCACCTTGCGCAGTGAACAACTTGTACATCTGCATGTTTGCCACCACTGGTACTCACTCTTTGGGGCCTAAGGCTTCTGGGACTTACCACAGTCCCATTCTAACAGTTCTATTTCAGATTCCAAATCCACACTGTACCTTGGCAACAACTGGAAGACAGAGGAGCAGAGTCCAAGCTGTGGAGGGTGTGCCACTGTTAGACACTTGCATTGCTCTGAATATGTGATTTTCCCCTTTAGTAATGAAACTAATGGAATATCTCTACATGAAAGGCTTATGTGCTATGTAAGGACAAACTCTAGCTATTTCTTCATTTTCATAGTTGGGGTTAGTGCTAGCAATTGGAAGATTTATGTACGTAAGGTTTACCTTACCCAACTGTACTCATTCAGTAAAGCTGTGGGAAAAGGCTAAGGAGTGATCTGCTCTCCATTCCTTACCAGTCAAGCCTATGTTTCCAGGGCTTTTCCTTCCATGCAAATACATAAACTAGTAAGTGAATCTTAGAGTGTCAGTAATACCACTTGATAGAACCATGGGCAACTTCTGCTACCTCACTATTCTGGCTGGATCTCGGGTTGACAATGTTCAAACATGCTTACAAGGCTGTGAAAGTTGGGTGGGAGGTGAGTGAAGGTTTATGGCTGCTGAAATCTGAATCTATAATTCCTGAACATGATCAATTTCTAAACCTTATAAAGTGGCTCTTTGGATCAGACTGAAGGAAATTGTTCATTTCTTTCAAGACAATAGGAAGAGAGGATGAGTCTAGTGTGAGTAGAGGGTTGAATTCAATGAGTAGGGACCCATCACTGGATTATCACCTTCAATAAGGTTGGCCTCTCTCCACCACCTTTGCCATGGTTATCATTTCTCAAATGTTCACAAGAAGTTTGTGAGCCTGAACTTGCTTCTATGGAAATGCCTCCTGTGCTTTTCCTTAGGAAAGATAAGCTTTCCAATTAAATGAAGAATTCTCTGGCTATCTCTTCATTGTTACTCTTTCAGGGTGAGATGCAGCTGACATTTGTCAAATGTCAGCCAAGCTTCAAGTCCTATTCTTGTTGTAATAACCACAACACTCCCCAGAGTGATGGGATAAGATCTGGGTAGGTCCAGCTTGTTTGACTTGAACCAAAGCTATAAGTGGGATCTCTGTGGGCCATAAGCCTGCAGCCTTTAATATGAAAGTCAGTAGGTGCTCAGTAAAAGGGTCCTGTAGGAAGCCCCCGTTGTCTTCTCTCTACTTACAAAATCTGTAACACATGTTGACTAGATCCAAAATTATGTCATTGCTTCATAACTTTTTGAGGTTCCAACGTCCAAGGCCCTTGGGAGAGGAGCAGTTGTTATTATAAGGCCAGGGTTTAAGACTGTCAACTGAAGCCATTCAAGGTCTCTCCTCTCAGTTTTGTCTCCATTGCTTCTCAGCAGCCACAGAGAAATCTGGCTGCTCTCAGACTGACAGCCCAGGCAGCACTGCCATGTAGAAATGAGGTAAACAACTAGATTTTGTTCCCCAGGAGAATACATTGATGAGCATGGACGCTGCCAGATCTGTGAAGCCTCATGTGCCAAGTGCTGGGGGCCGACTCAGGAAAACTGCACTGGCTGCCCTGACACAAGGTGAGTGGTCTCTCAGTATCTCCTATGGTTTGGAGCTTATGGGTTGCAGGATAGAGAAAGGAGGTGCTTACCACCTTAGAGGTACCCCTGGGGCCCTGCAGGAGAAAGAAAAAAACTCTTTCCCATGACACAGTAACCCTCTATGGCCTGACCACAGCCCACCTTTGCAGCACCTTCTCCTTGTGATGCCCAAGAACCTCTACCCTGGACACTAGAGGTGCTTTCTCATTGATGAAGATGGTGCTGCCTTTAATGCCTAGAATCTCATCCCTTTTCTGCACATCCAATCCCTCAACCATCACCTCCTTCTGACGAACAAATATCTACTCATATTTCTAGAATCAGTTCAAGGGTAAACTGTTCTATGAAGGCATTTTTTACTTTTTCCCAGTAGAATTCACCTCTTTCTCTATGTGTTCCCTTATACACTGTATAAATTTCCATAAGAGCAACATTTTAAGACATTCATATACAAATCTTTCTCTTCATTAAACTGTACACCCCTTAAAGTACTCATCTTTGCATCTCTATTACTAACCATGGTGCTAGGAAAATAGTAGGTACTCAATATATTTTTTATAGCTGAGTGAATGAGGAAATAGCAAGTATCCAAAGGGATGGGCGTCTCTGCTAATACACCAGGAATTTCTAATGAAGAGGGTTGGAAGCCTATTGTATTTTTAGTTAACACTCCTCTGATTCTAGCACTTAACACTTGTTGGCTGACTGAGTGTTTGAATGGCCTCATCACTGTTCTGCTAAATGCGTAGGAAGCAGAGCCTCTCCCCAGACCAGTATGAGGAGGCTGCTCTAGTGGCAGGTGACTCTCTAGGATGGACGTTCCCTCTGCCTTACACAATAGTCATTTCTTCTAATTCTCCCTCAGGGCTGTAATACCCTGAGTAGGACCTGCGGCATATTTGTCTCTTTATTCCCCCACAGTGATCAGCATATAGTAATAATTCAAATATGGGCTTGGCTCTCTAAATAGATCCCTCAAAAAGAGAAAGAAGGAAGGAAGGGAGACAGGGAGAGAGGGAGGGACGAAGGGAGAAAGGAGAGAGAGAAGGAGGAAGACACAAAAGAATAGAAGTCTTAAGAATTCTCAATACTCAGCCATAAAAAAGAAATCTTGCTATTTGTGACAACATGGATGAACTTAGAAGGTATTTATACTAAGTGAAATAAGTCAGAGAAAGACAAAAACTGTATCAGTTCACTTATACGTGGAATCTAAAAAACTAAGCAAATGAACAAACAAAATAAAACCAGCACTCATAGATAACAGAGAACAAACTGAAAGTTGCCCGAGGGTTGGGTGGTGGGGGAATGGGCAAAAAAGCTGAAAGGGATTAAGGGGTACAAACTTATAGTTAAAACATAAATAAGTCATGGGATGTAATGTACAGCATAGGGAATACAGTCAATATCGCAATAACTTTGTGTAGTGACAGATGGTTACTAGAATTCTCATGGCGATCACTTCGTAAGGTATATAAATGTCAAATCACTATGCTGTATACCTGAAACTAATATAACATTGTATGTCAACTATACTTTAATTAAAAAGAGCTTTATATTCCACAAAAAAAAATTTTCAATAACTGATAACATTTTCCAAGTGTCTCTTTAAGATGTCTATGCCTCTAAATATTGAAAGTGCTCTAAAGCAGCTTCAGGGCATACTATTAGATACAGACAGCATTCTGAAATGGGTCCTATTTCTCTTCTAACTCCTCACCATATCAATACTCAAATTTCATTGCATGTTTGGACATCTTCAAACTAAGGGAACTTTCCAGCATTTGTTTTATAAGGGAGCTACCATCATCCAGTGTATATTGCAGAAGTCATGATCATCTCAGGCTCTCCAGAAGTGAAAAAAAATTCTACTACCATAAATGGCCATTTTAAATAATCTCAGCCCATTGGTATAAGATCAGAGATGCACCTCCTGGGCTATTTCGGTCGTTTAACTTGTTTAAGCAGCCTGTGCTTTAGCTTTTGAAAAGAGAAAAGTATGTATATAGATCTTGAACCAGGACATCCACAGGAACAATTTTCTTCTCATCTCCCTGAGCATGCCATTTCTTTTCCCATCTCTCCTCCTTGATGCCAAGATGCAACTATGTCCAAGAAAAGGCATTGTATCATAGCAATGAACTACCTGACTTCTTAGGTGCATTTTCCTAGAAGGAGATTGAGAAGATGAGGAGACAGAAACGATTTTGAAAGAGGGTGATGTTTGAAAGGGCAGCCAAGTATTTTCCAAAGTATTTCTTTCAGTTGAATCAGGGCCATTTAAGATAGCCTTGAGCAATTTTGGTTTATGCCTGGCTCTGTGTTAGGCCCATAAATCCTTATAGGTGACTCAGGAGGTCAAGGTCAAGGGATAGTGAAGCACTCAGTGACAAGAATAGTGGGGCAGCTTTAACACCCTAGGCCTGATCTGCGAGCCAAATCTGCAACCATGGATGAGGGGGCGCCTTCTAGAAACTGCAGCCATAGAGGACGCAGGCACTTCAGAACCATGGAAGGAAGAAGCCAAGTTGTGACTCCAGGAGGAATAAATCCCCTAACCTCTGCTCCCACTCTCAGATCTTCTGCTGGTGTTTCCCCTTGTCTGAAACTAACTGAAGATCAATGAGAAACACCACTCACAAGTGAGGGAAGTGAGCTTGGAGATACAGTCTCTAGTGGGCACACTACAGAATGCTGAGTCTGGGGCAAGGGTAAGGGGAGGCAAACAGAATAACCATCACAGTTGGTCTCTCTGAGTTTTTTCCTATTCTAAAGCTATTCTCCAGTCCTGGTAGAATAACGATCATCTCTAAAAGGGTTTAACTTAGAGGTTTGCTTCAAAACAATATTAAGAGGGAAGTAAATCTGTGGGGATAGAAATGAAATAAGATTGGCCATGTGTTGATAAATGTTGAAGCCAAATGATGAATACAATGGAGGTGTACTGTTATTTTTTGCATATATGCTTATATATGTTTAAAATTTTCCATAATATTTAAAAAAAATAATTTAACCCTGAAGTTATTTTACAAGAAATCAAAATTTAAAAAGCCCTCTCTTCATCTTCTAGTTTTCCCTTTACATGTCCATCAACCCTTAGGTTTAACTCCTTGAAGACAACTGAAAACTTGGAGAAAGTTTGCCTCTGCTATAGCACATGTATAGCTCTGTTACATCATGGTCCTCATTGTCCAAGCTAACCTTCCAACCCAGTCCTGAAAGAGTTACAGAGTCCATGAACTAATTAAAAGCATTTAAAAGCTTTCTCTGTTCTGAACCCCCGCCCCCAAGTATTTTATTTGATCTGCTTCAATGAATTCAGGAAAAAAAGACGTTTTGCCAGATTTCATTCTGTTAAAACATTAAAGTACCAAGAAATTACATTAAGTGCCCTTGTGGTGACTTTAGTTGAGCCAAACAATCAGCACAGAGGACCAGCTAACTCTGACTTGACATCTCTTTCGTTGCAGTTCACATCTCACACACACACACACACACACACACACACACACACACACACCCCTGGGGCTTCTGGAAAATTTTGTGCCAATGTTGAGAACGTCACCTCTGCCCAGGTCTTTAGTGCTTGGTTTTGCCATCTTCTTCCTCTCCATGAGCCCTGTTGGACCTGGAATGGTTCACTGCTTATAAAAAGGCCAAGAGCATGTGTGACTTGGGGAGAGAAGTGCTTCCCCTGTAGAGCTTAGCTTGCCTGAGTGCCTCAGAAATCCACAAATTGGATGACTAGTGATCCCAGAGATGGCCTGAGTTGGCTTTAAAGAAAATTTTTATAAGCCCTATGGAGCCCAGAGCAAGGTATCTATTCTCCTCTACTAGGGAAGATTTGTTGGTGTTGGTGTAAATCTGTGCCACTTGAAATAATACTTTTCTACAAGTTTCTCAGCAAGTTTTCTTGAGGACATTGGGGGAGGTGCGGGGGATGATGGAATTCAGTGCCTGCACTTCAGCATGATTGTTATCTAGATCTTTCGATCTTTAGAAAGAATCAGGTTCTTACAAAAACTGGGTACGTCACCTGTGCTTTCCTTAGGGTAGAGGTTAAGGGAGGTGATTTAAAGCATAAGTATGTGCTGGGTATTTGCTTAAAACCAAGTACTCAGTGTAAGAAAGGCAGCCCCTTCTCCACATAAACATGGAAGTATTACACCACCTGTTTCACCCCTCATCCCCCACCCCAGTTTCTGGATGAATTTAAATGCTTCCCATCATTGAGAGTATTAGATCACCTCTCTCAATAGAAATAATTTCCCCCTAAACCAACCTGTCATCTCTTTCTATAAAGGACAAAACGGTGATGTACTTTCCATCTCTTTTTTAACTGAAGTTAGCAAGAAAATGAATCCTCACAAATAAACATACCCTATTATCCTTTTCGGCAGAGCATCGGGTAGCTTCCTTGTTTAAAATCCTCAGAAAGCTCTTGCATAGCTTTTCTTAAAGGGATGATTTTGCTTTTTGTTTTTTTAACTAGCCACCTCAAAATTATTTCTTGAAAAATCTTCTAACTCAGAAAGCAGAGGCGGGGTGGTGCCAGGATAGTCGCAGTTGGCATGAATGCCATAACTAAAAGTCTGGGTTGGGAACTCAGTCTCCTCTTTATACGCCATGGTGCAGAGGATCTGTTTTGACATGGACAACCAGATGTGTGTGCGTGTCTGTTTAGGGCTGGGACTCCCCGCTCTGTAATGGGCCAAGAGACTGTTCCCACCCGTGGTGCTGGGTATGGTGACCAGGACCTGGGGGGATGAGAATGAGGTGGTCTTCCATGTTCTGCTGTTGGCTTTAATCCCATTCTGTTTCCAGACAGATGCAAATGACACAAACTGTGAGGGAGTAGGAACAAGATGGAAGATTGCATGTAACATTATTCAGGATGTCTTGCCCCACCCCAATTTCCTCCAAGCTTGGGAATGAAAATGCCTATCTCCCTTTTAGGGCTGGTTGTAGCTATGGAGACAGCAGGAAATGGTGGGGTTTAGATAAGCCAGTGCCACTCCAAGAACAACCTGCATGAGGCCTCTACCTGGCCTTCTGTGAGACATCTGATCTGAGTGGAGAGAGGTGGTAGAGAGAAAAGGAAACCCTACCTTCATTTGCAGGCCCTCAGCAATCCCAGGCCTGGATGCCAGTGTATGCCCTCAGGGGACATGTATGTGCTACCAGCTCAGTTAACCTTCCAACTGATACAATAACTACTCCACAAAATATTGATTTGGCACCACCCATATTACTCAGGAATCATTTAGCCAATTCCATAGTAACCTAGACTGTTAGTGAGCACAAGATGGAGTGGCAGTTCTGAAAGTGTGTTTCCTAGACAGGCAGCATGAGCATCACCCAGGAACTTGTCAAAAATATAAATTCTCAGGTCTCTCCCACCAAGACCTACGGATTAAAAACTCTAGGGGTGGAGCCCCACAGCTTACATCATCTATTCACATAACCTATCTGACTCTTGCACTTGGGAAACCTTTTCATTTTTTTCTGAGCAAAATTCTTAGATACAATTTACTTCATCACATGTGCTCTTTGGATTACTCTGCAAAGGAAAAAGAGAAGCAAAAACTACAAAAACATAACCACAATATTATGGTATATATTGTATGTGTATAAAGCCAAAGGTTTTAGAAGCCCACATGCTAACTTACATGCGATGCCCTTGTAGGTGACTGCAAACATGGTCAGAAAATAGAAACTGTAGTACCCTATACATCAGGAATGCTTGCAAAAATGATGCTCAAAATCAGAGTTCACTGATCACTTGCCGTATTCACAGACCAAGTTTATAAGTAGCACCTAAACTACAGAATAGTCCTTCGTTCTACCCTTTGAGAGCCCTTGGAATTGACCTTTCCCTTGCAAAGTGCTGACAACTAAAGGAAGAATATTTTATCTAAGTCCTCTGGATTCAAAGTCCCATTCAGTGTCCTGAAAGCTCAGAGACCATCATCTGGCTGTGGGCTGGGTTTGGCTGGGGCCTACAATGTGGGTTTAATTCCTGTGGGTGCTGGTTAGCTTGTTTGGAACCAGAATCAGGATTGCATCCCCAGCCAGTTTCTGGCATGCCTGCTGTTTGGTCCAATCCTTGGGACAAGGATGGGTACGTGACTAATATTCCACATGGTCTAAGATGATCAGTCCCAGGCATCCCCCTTGTTTCTGGAACAATGAAACCGAGTTTGTGCAGTGAAACACGAATACCACATGTTCTAACACTTAAGGCTATTCCAGAAAGTCACCCTAACAAAAAAAGTCTGCTTTTCCTCCAGGGTTTTTGATGATGGCCGCTGCGTTTTGAACTGTCCCTCAGGCAAATTTGAATTTATGAACCAATGCCATCTATGCCACTATACCTGCCAAGAATGCCAAGGAAATGAGCCTTTCAGCTGTACCTCCTGTGGAGTCGGTGAGAGAGTCTGGTTGCTCACTTGTTCTTCGTTGTTTCAACCCTGTTCTCCCATGGGACATTATTTGCTTTGATTTAGAAGCTTCATCTCCGGGGACAAGGGCTTGAGATTAGACAGCTGTTTGTTCAAGAGTATGTACAACCTTGAGGTTTCTGCTTGTTGTCAGCACACAGGTTTACATTATTGTAGACACAGACTCGCTGCCCCTGAGGAAATGAGAGAGGAGCTAAGGGATGTCTTTCCAGAGAAGGGGGAAAAAGGGCATGCAAACATGATGTCAGACAGGAGATAGACAGTAAAGCTAAGATTTGTCGAGGTAAACGTGAAAAGCTAAGAAATTAAGATAGACATATTCAGTCTTTAAGAGGAAATACTGTAATAGATGTTGTGTCTGGGGTTTTCAGCCCTGAGCTATGCCATTTAGAAGTTGTCGAAGCCCTGTGGGAACAAAGTTACCATTTTCAAACACAAATATGACTTTCTCTGTCCCCGTTTTAACAACTCCAAGTTCCTGCTGTCATTGGATTACGCCCCATGATCTCAAAGGTCCTCTGCCGTGTGACGTTGATGCCTCTCCAGCCTCCCTTCATATGCCCATCCCACTCTGACCCATGTGGGACAGATTCCCATTTTCTCTGATATCTGACGCAATCATCCTTAAGTTTTATTTTAAGATCCAGTGGGATATGTTGGAAAAATAGGAATATTGTCAAATATTAATTCACTCACTCACTCATTCAATCATTAGCGAATATAAACGTAGAACTCATTCTATGCCAGGCTGCCCCTAAGCCTCTGAATCCTGAGTTAATGTCATGGGAAGGTACAGAAAATTATAACTGTGGATAAAGAGAGAGGAGACTTCTCACTGTTCTCCCTCAGATCTTCCTACCTATATCTGAGAAGTTTAGTTCTCAGAAAAACAGGATCTTTCCTGAGTGAGTCAAAGAAATGGGGTTTGCTAGGGTTTCATGATGTGCCTGAGAAGAACATATCTTGGGAGGTTGACCCTTTTCTAGTCTCCTGAGATCAGGGTTTTGTGCTCCACAACATTGACCGACAGCAGTAGAATCACTAAATGCACATTACATCCTCCCAAACACTCCTTCCTAGAGGATAATGTTCTTTTAAATCAAACTTGGAGACAGCAGACACTTTTTTTGTGTCACCTCTATGGAAGCCCTCTTTATTTTCTTTGTTCCCACAGGAGCCAGTAGACCTCTGGCATGAAATCACCATCAGAAAAGAGATAGCTTCAAAGTCCACAGTCCAAGCGTGTGGTTTTAAAATGGTATTTCCACAAGGGTTTTAATTAAATAAGAAACATTATGTTAAGCCATTTGAAAGTGCTGAGCTTATGGGTAAAAAACAAGAAACAGTTGAATGTTGTTAATTTCATGTGGTTCAATCTTATACTGATTTTCAGTTTCTGAACTTGCAACACAGGGTCAGTGCTATCTTTATCCACAACATCAGCAGCCTTTCATTTTGAAGGGCAATGGTTCTGGATCCACATGTGGTACATCATATGATGAGTGAACACTAGACCCCAGTTACTTTGGGTAGCACTGATCAGCTGTTCTTCAGAGACTAGAGCATATGGGAGACCTGAGTCAGAGAAGATGGATGTCCTAAACACACTCAGCACAAACAGAAACCCCAGGAGCGTGGGGGTAGGAAACCTCTAAATGCATCCATATTAATCTTGTTTTCTAATACATACTTTTGTAATGAAAAAGAATTGTTTTTCATTCATTGCAATTGTTTGTAGAATTTTAGAATTAGAATTTTCCGTTTCATCCAAGAGCAAATTCCCAGGTTCATGCTAAGGTGGTATTGCTGACTCTTTCCTTGTAGAGTCCAGTCTTGATAGAAGCTCGGAACTTTCAGGAATGCATGTAAAGGAGTCAAAGAGGAGTGCTTGGTCTTGTGCTTCACCAGGCTGCCATTATAGAAATGGGCAGCTGTGCAAAAGTTCAGATCTTAGTTAACACAGTGTGTGATTTTGATAATAGAAGTCAAAATCATTCTTAAAGAATGCACTGTCATATAACACATCTATCAGTAAGCATTTATTTATTCTCATGGGATCTCTATAGCCCCCAAGTCTTCGACCTACCAAAAGGAGCCCAAGGAGAAATTTTCAACTACAGGTATACAGATACTGCACATTTCATTAAATCCATTCTTTTTTTTTCTTTTTTTTTTATTGTTAGTTTCAGGTGTACAGAACAATGCAATAGTTACCATTTTCACCCTCACAAAGTAACAACGCCCCTCCCCCCATCTATTGCCCTCCCACCCCCGATATCATGCCTATCCATTACAATTCCATTGAATCCGTTCCCGCTCTCTACTCCATGTCCCGAGACTATATGTATATATATAATTATAGTTGACATACTATAATATTCAACATTAGCTTCAGAAATAAAATGCGGTGGTCAGGCCTCTACATCGACTATGAAGTGGACTCCCCAACAGGACATGGGTCCATCTGGCCCCCTAAGAAATATTTACACATTATTGTTAATCCATTCTTATACTTCTAGTCCCTGAGGAGCCTAAGCACTTGGTCATATCATTTTTTTTAAATAAAATGTCTTAGGTTATATTAGCTTCATGGTTAACTGTGTACATTTTCCCTCTTTTGTTGCTCCTATTTGTTCAGATAAATATGGCTGGGAGCGCTTCTTGTACCAGGGAGTATGTCAAGAGAGCTGCCCGGTGGGGCACTACGCTGCTGAGGGGCACACCTGCCTGCCCTGCCCAGACAACTGCGAGCTTTGCCACAGCGTGCACACCTGTACACGATGTATGGGTGGCTACTTCATAGTGCCCACCAACCACACCTGCCAGAAGTTAGAGTGTGGACAAGGTAAAGCTGCTTTGGGGCCACTGCCCTCCCTGCACCAGGAGGTGACAAGAGGTGTACCCCTCGAAGTCCCACAGATGTGAACTGTCCTCTTGGTTTTCTGTCAGCGCCTGGGATGACTGAGTGACTATATGTTAAGTGGGGAAAGTGATAGTTGCACCTCTTTCTTCCCCCACACATCTGTTCTCTGTGTTTCCCCAGATACAATCCAAGGGCACAGGAGTGCAGCTAATCACATAGAAATTGATCTTGAGTGGAGGATTTTTGAACAGGGTATAGTGAAGAGAAAATCAGATTAGAATTGGAAGTCCTGACAGACAATTTTCTCCTTCCCAATTACTAGTTATGAGACTCTGGGTAAAATTAGTCTGATTTCTCTATGNGTGAAATTCAGGTTAAGGAAAGAATAGGCATTTTTTTCCTCAGGCAGTTAGCTAATTGTAAAGGGATACCTACAGCAACTATGTTTCACAGTGTGGGGACTTGACTTCTCCTTAGCTTCTCAAGGTCACAAATTTGAAGAGGACCAATGGTGGGAAAGAAAGGAACTCAACCTAAGAAATGCTTAATTACTCTTAATTCACTCCGTATGTAAAACACAAAAGTCTGGCAGGAGCTTGGAGGTTTTTCCTTTACAAAAATGACTCTATTGCTTCAAACCTAAGATATTCCCTAGAGAAGAAAGCAATGTGGTGACAGTGAGTTGAAATCCCCATCATATAATAGAAAGCACTTGTCAGTCTTCATATAATTCACTAGCTCACATCATTGACTCCTCATTTCTCCCCAGGCCTGCCTGGTTCTCCTCTGGAGAAGGTGGTAGTAACAGTCTGTACCACACAGCACCATTGGATTGTACGTGAAATGAAAAACAGGGAAACTACTAAATTCCAGGAACATATTTTGATGTAAATTTAGGCAAGATATTGAAACTAATTAGCATTTGAACCTGTGGATCATTGAAAGGAAACCCAACCTAAGTTAAAGATTGAAGGAATGATTTCTCTTTATGCAGTTTCCATGTTTTCTCTAATCAGATTTGTTTATGAGACTTTTATCAGGGTGAAAACAAACAAATAGCATTTTATATAATAACATTTTGTCTCAAGAGTATTTGATGCTGAATTCTTTGTGTTTCTAATCAGTATTTTAAATGTAAATTTTAACTAAGATAAATCTAAGTGTTCTAAATTATACTTGTTCATTAATTGAAAATATAAGAAAATGGAATCATTTTTACTTAATGTTTTAAGGCATCCTTTATAGCTTTAATTTAAGGAATGTGGTATTAAGTATGACACATGACTATAACCTAAGATTTAGGTTCCATACCTACATCACCAAAGACCCAATGGTTGATTTAATCAAATTGCATAAGATCTCTTTACTTCCTTATCATGTCAATAAAGTAGAGGTTAATGTGCCCTTATCTCAGCTCATAAGTAGGTGATGAAAATGCATTAGCATTTGATCATTAAAATGGCTATAGTCCCTAATCTTGAGAAAAAAATATCACAAATTTTAAATTTTTAAGTCATTGCAAAAAAAAAAAAAAAAAAGATGAAGCAGAAAAATGCCCTATAACTTAACTGCTAAAAAGGGGACAAAAGTTTATACCGACAGAACTTAGAATAAGGAAATCCCTGGGCACAGAAGTGGTCAAGAAAGGCATCCAGAAGATGGGACTCAAGATAAGCCTTGGAGTTTCCATTGAATTTAGACAGATAAGTAGGAAGGGTTACACTACAGAGGGGCTTTGGACCTAGACAATAGCAGAAAAAAGGTTTGGAGGAAAGAATTTCTGTCATGGGTTTTAGAACACTGAATGTACCAATTTTCCAGAAGGAAATAAGTAAATATAAGGGGATAGGTAAATGGAAGTTTGGAGAAGTGGTTGAAAAACCGTATTGTGAACTCTGGACTAATGAGTTTAAAAGTATTCCGTGGGTCAAGTTTTGGGTCAAGATGGCAGAGTAGGTAAACACTATGCTTACCCCCTCTCAAGACCACATCAAAATTACAACTAAACTACAGAAAAACCATCACTGAGAATCACCCAAAGTCCAGCTGAACTAAAGCCCTACAACTAAGGACATTCAGGACATTCAGAAGAAGCCACCTTGAGACTAGTAGGAGGGGCAGAGATGCAGAACGGGCTGGTCCCACACCCACACTAAAATTCAGGAAGGATATCTTAGCTGTGGAGGCCCCCCAACAGTAAGAGTGAGGGGTTAGACCCACACCAGGCTCCCCAGCCCAGGGTTCCACTGCCAGGGAGAGAAGTCACTGTGAAAACCAACAAAGATTGTGGCTGAGTGAGACCGGAAGCAGCTGCAGTCCCAGGTGCTCCTCTTAAAGGGTCCATGCACAGATTTACTCACCAACCAAATAACGCTGTGAGCTCCAGTGCTAGGGAAGCAGCTTGAAAAGCATTAGGGACATACAAGAATAAACTGGAGTTGTATGGCTTCAGGATGAGGGCTGGAGGGGCAACTTTCTCCCAGGTAGAGGAGCTGGCAAAAGCCATTGTTTCTTTGTTGAGCCCTCCCTCTTCCAGCTTGCAGACACAGATGGCCAGTATATCTGAGTCTCCATCAACATGGCTAACATATTTCATTTGCTCCAACCCAGGTGATTCCCTGAGACCCTGCTCCCGCCAACTTTGAAGCCCACCCAGGCTGCTTCCAGTGGCTTTTCCTGTCTTGGCTCATGCTGCAGACTTTCCCAAAATCTCTCAAACGTTCACAAAACCCAAACAACCAGCATTTGGCTTCAGCATGTCCTGTACATCTGTCTGAGCAGACCTAAGCCTGGTACTAGTGACATCTGGCCTCGGTTCATGACTTGGCCTCTTGAGGTACCACCAGGCCCAGTGCAGGTGGCAGCCATCTGCAAACTGCTTTGTGGCTCATGCCAGGTCGCCCCAGGCAGGGCACAGGTTGTGGCTGAACTTGGCCTGCAGCATGTTCCCCGCCAAGAGGCCCCAGGTCTGGCACACTTGGTGGCCAGCTTCAGACTGAGCTAGAGCATCACCCAGCTGCCTCCAAGGATGAAACATCCAAAGGGCAGACTGGGCAGGCACCAGAGCCCTGCTAAAATGAATCTTGCTCTGCAGGGTCAGCCCCTGCACCACAGCTCCTCCAAAAAGGACCCAGTAATCCCACTTCTGGATCCTTTATTATCTCCTGTTATTGCCTTTGTGAGTAGGAGAGACAATCTCTCTACCCTGACCCATGTAAATTCAAGCTTCAGATCCAGGAATTAGAGAACCAACCTCATTTCTTCTTGCTACCTTATCTTTCTGTTAATGAGTGAGACCTCATTCATGGAAGACAAAAACGAGACACCTGAGACATGAAATTCATGGTTTAGTTTTCCAACGGGACAGACATACCGAATTTCTCAAATGAAATATTATAGTCACAGATCACTATTTATTTCACTTCTACCCAGTTCTCCCATTGGATCTTTTCCACAAATAAGAACAGGGGAATAAGAACAGTGTCAAACTGTTTTGGTACCTTCCAAACCAAAGGCATTGCAGAATAAAACTTATTCTAGGCTGGTGTCTCCTTTAAATTGGAAAGAAGTTGCTGATTATAAAAGTGAAACTCAACATTCATACAGGACCTTCTTTCCAGTGACCTAGTGTGTCACTCCCTGTTCCGCCAACCTCAGTGCATGACCCAGGTGGTTAGCTACCATCATATCCAGGGACAGATGGGGAAGGACAGTGCAGGATGGCTCTTTTCTTTAAAAGGCCAAATACAAGCCAGCTTCAGAGGGAGCATTGGAATCTAAAAGCATTTTCACCATTTGCTTAAGAGAAATAAGCAAGCTCCATTAGATAGTGCTGTCTTAAAGAACACCTAAAATAATTGATTTTATTTTTCATTCTTTATATTTCATTCTTTTCATTCTCTCCCCTCATTTACTAAGTGATATTCATTTCAAACATGGGGTTTAGAATAAATGAAACCTTAAAAAAGAACCCAATGTTGGAAGAATTAGCAGAAGTTTTGCAGTTTCGTGGCCCCTTATTCATCCTGGCTTTCTTCATTAATTCACTGAGCAAATATTTATTGCATGCCTTTGTCCTTTCTGCTTTCCCATAGTTTGTTCAGTTTTTCCCACAGTTAATAGTACTGTATAACCTAATATTTATCAAGCATCATCATTCACTCTACTAACCACTTGAAGTGGACGATGTGTTTTCACATCTACAATCCAACAGTTTTTACAGATAGAGAAACTAAGGATTAAAGAAGCTTTGAAACGTGACCAATTTAATGCTTATGGGAAATGACATGGTTGCTAAACAGTTTCAAGCAACCTTCTGTTTAACTTTATTTACACTTTTCACTGGAAGGAGTTGGCTTAGAAGCTCTTTGTAATATGTATGACTATGATAGGCAGGGTTGTGCTCTCATAAGAGATGACCCCCAAAATCTCAAGAACTTAAAAAAACAAAGGTTTATTTCTCTCTCGTTTATGCTGCATCTCCATCACGGGTCAGCTGAGGGCTCTGCATGGTCCTCAATCCAGGACCCAGGGTGACGGAGCAGCCATCATCTTGTTGTGGCAGAAGAAAAATACACTGGCTCTTAAAGGTTTCCCCAGGATGTGACACTTGTGATTCCCACTCACTGATTTTGGGCCAAAGCAGGTCACATGGTCATGCCCAAGATCACAGCATAGGGAGATGCAATCTTGTCATGTGCCTGCAAAAGAGAAACCAATATTGTGACCACCCTAATGACATTCTCACCATGGTAATGACTGGGACTTGTATCTTCCGAGGTTTGTACATGAAATAGTCCCAAACATGTGCCCACTCTGTTCCACTGACTTCTCTCTTCTGCCTCTCTGATCTTGCCCATTATCATTCCTTGGCAGTGTCTGACTTTCTCCTTCTTTCAAAGGAATTTTTCTGAAGAAGTTGCTATGTTTTTAACTGATGGAGTTTCCCAAAGTATTCTGCTGTCTCATTTCTCTGATCCCTTGACAACTGAAGAGTCAAAAAGAAGACCAGTGATAAATGACATGTAATCAATAGGTGAACTGTCAGCTGAAAGGACTTGGACCTTTTTTTTTTTTTTGTATATGAGGGATTCTTTTTTTTTAATTTTATTTATTTATTTATTTTTATTGTTAGTTTCAGGTGTACAGAACAATACAATAGTTACCCTTTTCACCCTCATCAGGTAACAACACCCCTCCCCCCATCTATTGCCCTCCCACCCCCGATATCATGCCTATCCATTACAATTCCATTGAATCCGTTCCCGCTCTCTACTCCATGTCCCGAGACTATATGTATATATATAATTATAGTTGACATACTATATTTTTCAGCATTAGCTTCAGAAATACAGTGCGGTGGTCAGGCCTCTACATCGACTATGAAGTGGACTCCCCAACAGGACATGGGTCCATCTGGCCCCCTAAGAAATATTTACACATTATTGTTAATCCATTCTTATACTTCTAGTCCCTGAGGAGCCTAAGCACTTGGTCATATCATTTTTTTTAAATAAAATGTCTTAGGTTATATTAGCTTCATGGTTAACTGTGTACATTTTCCCTCTTTTGTTGCTCCTATTTGTTCAGATAAATATGGCTGGGAGCGCTTCTTGTACCAGGGAGTATGTCAAGAGAGCTGCCCGGTGGGGCACTACGCTGCTGAGGGGCACACCTGCCTGCCCTGCCCAGACAACTGCGAGCTTTGCCACAGCGTGCACACCTGTACACGATGTATGGGTGGCTACTTCATAGTGCCCACCAACCACACCTGCCAGAAGTTAGAGTGTGGACAAGGTAAAGCTGCTTTGGGGCCACTGCCCTCCCTGCACCAGGAGGTGACAAGAGGTGTACCCCTCGAAGTCCCACAGATGTGAACTGTCCTCTTGGTTTTCTGTCAGCCCCTGGGATGACTGAGTGACTATATGTTAAGTGGGGAAAGTGATAGTTGCACCTCTTTCTTCCCCCACACATCTGTTCTCTGTGTTTCCCCAGATACAATCCAAGGGCACAGGAGTGCAGCTAATCACATAGAAATTGATCTTGAGTGGAGGATTTTTGAACAGGGTATAGTGAAGAGAAAATCAGATTAGAATTGGAAGTCCTGACAGACAATTTTCTCCTTCCCAATTACTAGTTATGAGACTCTGGGTAAAATTAGTCTGATTTCTCTATGTTTTGCTTGGTTTCTTCATACCATCAAGATGGTTGCTATGAGAAGCCAATGAGAACCAGCCTACCTAAACTACTTAAAAATATTAAAATGTTCTGTGAATTATATGTGATTGTTATTGTCCAATTCCTTATCTTACATGGGAAGAGGGAGATTTCAAAACAGCACTTACAGTTATTGTTCTCTTCCATTCAAGAATGCTGCAGACTTTCACTGCTTTGGATAAGATATGCCTAATCTGATGCTGAAGAGAGCCCCAAGATATTTTCAGAATAATTAAAACACATTCTTTTTCTTCTTAATGTTTACTAATGTTGTATAGGATTTAAAACTTAACAAAAAAAGTATTTAGAAAGACAGATAAAAAGAGACAGAGCCTGTTAATTTATATACCCAATTCCACATTCCCAGAAGCAGAACTTATTTAATAAATAAAAGCTACCTTCTTGACTTTCATACAAGTTGCATGGCATATAGTTCAATTTTGTTCCATTTGCACCAATCAAGCTGATCTAACTGACTGAATTAATGAAGGAGGTAAAAACGTGGGTGACACATAGATTCTTAAAGATGGTTTTGGGTTTCATAATTGCTCTATAACTTGCTTAAAAATAAGCTACAAACCAACATATTTTCATAGAAACTGATGTGTCTCCACTCAGTGAAAGAGAATTGTTTTTCGCTCTTCTCACTTTATAGATGAAATCCAAGACCCAGACTATGAAGAATGTATACCTTGTGAAGAAGGATGTCTGGGATGCAGCTTGGGTATGTCATCTTCCATTGCTGGTAAAAGAGTTGAAATAACTGTGTCTTATTTCACACATCCTCATCCTGTCATTCCTTCACCAGGGACTCTTGTCATTGTTGTTATGATCAGTGTCACCATCAATATCCATTAAATAGGCACACTCCCATGCAAACAGGGTCTCTCAGTAAGAAACGCTCCCTTTTGAGGCAATGGATAGGTCACCTGTGTTTGTGAAATTCAGGTTAAGGAAAGAATAGGCATTTTTTTCCTCAGGCAGTTAGCTAATTGTAAAGGGATACCTACAGCAACTATGTTTCACAGTGTGGGGACTTGACTTCTCCTTAGCTTCTCAAGGTCACAAATTTGAAGAGGACCAATGGTGGGAAAGAAAGGAACTCAACCTAAGAAATGCTTAATTACTCTTAATTCACTCCGTATGTAAAACACAAAAGTCTGGCAGGAGCTTGGAGGTTTTTCCTTTACAAAAATGACTCTATTGCTTCAAACCTAAGATATTCCCTAGAGAAGAAAGCAATGTGGTGACAGTGAGTTGAAATCCCCATCATATAATAGAAAGCACTTGTCAGTCTTCATATAATTCACTAGCTCACATCATTGACTCCTCATTTCTCCCCAGGCCTGCCTGGTTCTCCTCTGGAGAAGGTGGTAGTAACAGTCTGTACCACACAGCACCATTGGATTGTACGTGAAATGAAAAACAGGGAAACTACTAAATTCCAGGAACATATTTTGATGTAAATTTAGGCAAGATATTGAAACTAATTAGCATTTGAACCTGTGGATCATTGAAAGGAAACCCAACCTAAGTTAAAGATTGAAGGAATGATTTCTCTTTATGCAGTTTCCATGTTTTCTCTAATCAGATTTGTTTATGAGACTTTTATCAGGGTGAAAACAAACAAATAGCATTTTATATAATAACATTTTGTCTCAAGAGTATTTGATGCTGAATTCTTTGTGTTTCTAATCAGTATTTTAAATGTAAATTTTAACTAAGATAAATCTAAGTGTTCTAAATTATACTTGTTCATTAATTGAAAATATAAGAAAATGGAATCATTTTTACTTAATGTTTTAAGGCATCCTTTATAGCTTTAATTTAAGGAATGTGGTATTAAGTATGACACATGACTATAACCTAAGATTTAGGTTCCATACCTACATCACCAAAGACCCAATGGTTGATTTAATCAAATTGCATAAGATCTCTTTAATTCCTTATCATGTCAATAAAGTAGAGGTTAATGTGCCCTTATCTCAGCTCATAAGTAGGTGATGAAAATGCATTAGCATTTGATCATTAAAATGGCTATAGTCCCTAATCTTGAGAAAAAAATATCACAAATTTTAAATTTTTAAGTCATTGCAAAAAAAAAAAAAAAAAAGATGAAGCAGAAAAATGCCCTATAACTTAACTGCTAAAAAGGGGACAAAAGTTTATACCGACAGAACTTAGAATAAGGAAATCCCTGGGCACAGAAGTGGTCAAGAAAGGCATCCAGAAGATGGGACTCAAGATAAGCCTTGGAGTTTCCATTGAATTTAGACAGATAAGTAGGAAGGGTTACACTACAGAGGGGCTTTGGACCTAGACAATAGCAGAAAAAAGGTTTGGAGGAAAGAATTTCTGTCATGGGTTTTAGAACACTGAATGTACCAATTTTCCAGAAGGAAATAAGTAAATATAAGGGGATAGGTAAATGGAAGTTTGGAGAAGTGGTTGAAAAACCGTATTGTGAACTCTGGACTAATGAGTTTAAAAGTATTCCGTGGGTCAAGTTTTGGGTCAAGATGGCAGAGTAGGTAAACACTATGCTTACCCCCTCTCAAGACCACATCAAAATTACAACTAAACTACAGAAAAACCATCACTGAGAATCACCCAAAGTCCAGCTGAACTAAAGCCCTACAACTAAGGACATTCAGGACATTCAGAAGAAGCCACCTTGAGACTAGTAGGAGGGGCAGAGATGCAGAACGGGCTGGTCCCACACCCACACTAAAATTCAGGAAGGATATCTTAGCTGTGGAGGCCCCCCAACAGTAAGAGTGAGGGGTTAGACCCACACCAGGCTCCCCAGCCCAGGGTTCCACTGCCAGGGAGAGAAGTCACTGTGAAAACCAACAAAGATTGTGGCTGAGTGAGACCGGAAGCAGCTGCAGTCCCAGGTGCTCCTCTTAAAGGGTCCATGCACAGATTTACTCACCAACCAAATAACGCTGTGAGCTCCAGTGCTAGGGAAGCAGCTTGAAAAGCATTAGGGACATACAAGAATAAACTGGAGTTGTATGGCTTCAGGATGAGGGCTGGAGGGGCAACTTTCTCCCAGGTAGAGGAGCTGGCAAAAGCCATTGTTTCTTTGTTGAGCCCTCCCTCTTCCAGCTTGCAGACACAGATGGCCAGTATATCTGAGTCTCCATCAACATGGCTAACATATTTCATTTGCTCCAACCCAGGTGATTCCCTGAGACCCTGCTCCCGCCAACTTTGAAGCCCACCCAGGCTGCTTCCAGTGGCTTTTCCTGTCTTGGCTCATGCTGCAGACTTTCCCAAAATCTCTCAAACGTTCACAAAACCCAAACAACCAGCATTTGGCTTCAGCATGTCCTGTACATCTGTCTGAGCAGACCTAAGCCTGGTACTAGTGACATCTGGCCTCGGTTCATGACTTGGCCTCTTGAGGTACCACCAGGCCCAGTGCAGGTGGCAGCCATCTGCAAACTGCTTTGTGGCTCATGCCAGGTCGCCCCAGGCAGGGCACAGGTTGTGGCTGAACTTGGCCTGCAGCATGTTCCCCGCCAAGAGGCCCCAGGTCTGGCACACTTGGTGGCCAGCTTCAGACTGAGCTAGAGCATCACCCAGCTGCCTCCAAGGATGAAACATCCAAAGGGCAGACTGGGCAGGCACCAGAGCCCTGCTAAAATGAATCTTGCTCTGCAGGGTCAGCCCCTGCACCACAGCTCCTCCAAAAAGGACCCAGTAATCCCACTTCTGGATCCTTTATTATCTCCTGTTATTGCCTTTGTGAGTAGGAGAGACAATCTCTCTACCCTGACCCATGTAAATTCAAGCTTCAGATCCAGGAATTAGAGAACCAACCTCATTTCTTCTTGCTACCTTATCTTTCTGTTAATGAGTGAGACCTCATTCATGGAAGACAAAAACGAGACACCTGAGACATGAAATTCATGGTTTAGTTTTCCAACGGGACAGACATACCGAATTTCTCAAATGAAATATTATAGTCACAGATCACTATTTATTTCACTTCTACCCAGTTCTCCCATTGGATCTTTTCCACAAATAAGAACAGGGGAATAAGAACAGTGTCAAACTGTTTTGGTACCTTCCAAACCAAAGGCATTGCAGAATAAAACTTATTCTAGGCTGGTGTCTCCTTTAAATTGGAAAGAAGTTGCTGATTATAAAAGTGAAACTCAACATTCATACAGGACCTTCTTTCCAGTGACCTAGTGTGTCACTCCCTGTTCCGCCAACCTCAGTGCATGACCCAGGTGGTTAGCTACCATCATATCCAGGGACAGATGGGGAAGGACAGTGCAGGATGGCTCTTTTCTTTAAAAGGCCAAATACAAGCCAGCTTCAGAGGGAGCATTGGAATCTAAAAGCATTTTCACCATTTGCTTAAGAGAAATAAGCAAGCTCCATTAGATAGTGCTGTCTTAAAGAACACCTAAAATAATTGATTTTATTTTTCATTCTTTATATTTCATTCTTTTCATTCTCTCCCCTCATTTACTAAGTGATATTCATTTCAAACATGGGGTTTAGAATAAATGAAACCTTAAAAAAGAACCCAATGTTGGAAGAATTAGCAGAAGTTTTGCAGTTTCGTGGCCCCTTATTCATCCTGGCTTTCTTCATTAATTCACTGAGCAAATATTTATTGCATGTCTTTGTCCTTTCTGCTTTCCCATAGTTTGTTCAGTTTTTCCCACAGTTAATAGTACTGTATAACCTAATATTTATCAAGCATCATCATTCACTCTACTAACCACTTGAAGTGGACGATGTGTTTTCACATCTACAATCCAACAGTTTTTACAGATAGAGAAACTAAGGATTAAAGAAGCTTTGAAACGTGACCAATTTAATGCTTATGGGAAATGACATGGTTGCTAAACAGTTTCAAGCAACCTTCTGTTTAACTTTATTTACACTTTTCACTGGAAGGAGTTGGCTTAGAAGCTCTTTGTAATATGTATGACTATGATAGGCAGGGTTGTGCTCTCATAAGAGATGACCCCCAAAATCTCAAGAACTTAAAAAAACAAAGGTTTATTTCTCTCTCGTTTATGCTGCATCTCCATCACGGGTCAGCTGAGGGCTCTGCATGGTCCTCAATCCAGGACCCAGGGTGACGGAGCAGCCATCATCTTGTTGTGGCAGAAGAAAAATACACTGGCTCTTAAAGGTTTCCCCAGGATGTGACACTTGTGATTCCCACTCACTGATTTTGGGCCAAAGCAGGTCACATGGTCATGCCCAAGATCACAGCATAGGGAGATGCAATCTTGTCATGTGCCTGCAAAAGAGAAACCAATATTGTGACCACCCTAATGACATTCTCACCATGGTAATGACTGGGACTTGTATCTTCCGAGGTTTGTACATGAAATAGTCCCAAACATGTGCCCACTCTGTTCCACTGACTTCTCTCTTCTGCCTCTCTGATCTTGCCCATTATCATTCCTTGGCAGTGTCTGACTTTCTCCTTCTTTCAAAGGAATTTTTCTGAAGAAGTTGCTATGTTTTTAACTGATGGAGTTTCCCAAAGTATTCTGCTGTCTCATTTCTCTGATCCCTTGACAACTGAAGAGTCAAAAAGAAGACCAGTGATAAATGACATGTAATCAATAGGTGAACTGTCAGCTGAAAGGACTTGGACCTTTTTTTTTTTTGTATATGAGGGATTCTTTTTTTTTAATTTTATTTATTTATTTATTTTTATTGTTAGTTTCAGGTGTACAGAAC